AAGTTTTTCCAGGAGGTCTAGGGTCTATCATAGGAGCTAAGGACAACTTGCATGTTGACCATGAAGGAATTCCATGACTCAGCAAGGCCCACCCAGTGCTATTCACCTCCCGAATAAAAGTGGAAGCAATCATCAGGAAGCTGGAAAGCGAAAGAACTATCAAACCAGTGCAGTTTGCAGAATGGGCAGCACCAGTTGTACCAATTGTGAAGCCTAACAGGTCAGTTCACCTTTGTGGGAATTTTAAACAAACAGCAAACCGCTTTTCTCAGCTGGATAAATTCCCATTCCTCAGATAGAGGACTCATACGTAAAGCCGGTAGGGATGCAGTCCTTCACAAAGACTGGACATGAGCCATGCGTACTTGCAATTGCGGTTAGATGAGGATTCCCAGAAATATGCTACAATTAATACCCATAAGGGTTTGTACCAATAAAACACTCTGCCATTTGGAGTATTGTCAGTTTGTGCAATTTTTTAGCGGCAATGGAGAACATTTTATAAGTTCGACCCCAGGTCACCATTTATCTGGATGATGTGCAAATAACAGGCAACACCAATAAGGAGCACTTAGAGAACTTGGACATAGTCCTTTGATGTTTCTGCCAGGTGGGTATATGCCTTAGAAGGGGAAAAGTGTGTGTTCTAGGCACCCCAAGTGACCTACTTTGGCTACAGAGTTGACAAGACTGGGTTACACCCATTGGAAGATAAAGTGAGGTCGATCAATGGTGCCCCAGCTCTGACATTTGTATTGGAGCTTAGGTCTTTCCTTGGGCTGATGAATTATTATAGAAAGTTCAGACATAACCTGGCCTCCATCCTGTCACCTTTGCATCAACTCCTAAAAAAGGGTCAGGCTTGGAAATGGGCACATAGCCAAGTCATAGCTTTCAAGGAAGTGGAGAAACAGCTATCATCCTGTAAGGTGTTGGCACACTATGATCCCAAGTGAGATCTGGTGTTGACATGCGATGCCTCCCCATACAGTGTTGGGATAGTATTAGCTCATAGGTGGCCCAATACATCCAGGACCTTGGCTAATGCAGAGCAAAAATACACGCGGATAAAGAAGGAAGGTATTGCAGTCATATTTGGAGTCAGGAAGTTCCACCAACACCTTTACAGATGTAAATTTGTTGTAATAATGGACCACAAACCCCTGCTAGGCCTATGTAAAGGGAATCGAACCTCTGACTCTCTTGTTTATATTTGTCAGCCAGGTCTTCCTCATTTGACCAGGTTAACAGCCCCAATTAGAGAACCCATAGTCTATAAGGTTCACTGGCTGACCTTGTTACAATCACTACGTCAGAATGAAGAGGATTATTCAAATGGTGAAGTTTGCTGATGTTCTCCCCCCTCGTCCCATACAGCCAGTAAAGAATGTGATCCTACTGATCACAGCAGCCCCTCGGCCATTTAATGCTTGGAGGAGTTTTAATTAGCTAGGGCAGTTCTTGCAGCCTCACTCAGGAGGATATCCCCCTCGGAGAGCTGTCAATCAATCAGATTGACTGGATGCTCTAGGATCTCAGCAGAGTCCTATTGCACCATTGGTCAGGGCTGGGATTGTCAAGCAGTGGTCCCAGAATCTGGGACCAAATATGCATGGGGGAATCCAACAGTTGGGAGAAATGGGGATGGCCAGGGAGGTGCTGGAGGGATTGGGAGCCTTCATGGTGAGGTTAGGAGGGGTGGAAATACCCACACAGAGGAGACCTTACGAGGTTCACTTGAAGTGGGAAGAGAGGCCCTTGAGTGAGGTGAACCCCCTTCCACTTTCCTGACACTGTGACAGGTCACCTTGTAAATCTGGCCTCTTGCTGTAAGCCTCAACTTTGCGATCAAGCAGGAAGTAGCTCTTTATTGGCCACGTAAGGACTTCAAATGGGACCAAGAGTGGGAAACCCGTCCCAATCCTCACCTAAGAACACCATAAAATGGCAGACAGGGCACATTGGGTAGTTGGGTGATGGCAAGGCTGCCTGGGGCATTTTACAGGCCCACTCCCACCAATGGGGGTCCAGATAGTTCTACCCATTGCATTTAATCACATGCTGGATGGAATCCTGTGTCCTCCCCAGTGGTGTGTTTAGTGGTGAGAGGGCATTTAATCAGGTGGAAGAATAGTGAAAGAGAAGCCCACCACGTTCTTACTTCCAGCCTTGTTAAGGCAAAGGTGGAAAGGACTGCCTTCCCACCTCACCAGTAATTGAGATCCTTAAATTGACAATTAATGCCCAATTAAAGGCTTCATCCCATGACAATTGGTATTAACTTAATGGCAGATAAGGAACTTGCCATCTGGGAGCATGACAAGCAAATCCTGGTGTGTTTGCTCGTGGGGTCTTGAGGTGGGGGTGTTTCCCTAAATCAAAGTGCCTGATCGAGGGACCTAGCATCAGGAATAGTCGACTAGTATGAGCCACCTGCTTGCCCTTACTGTCAATCTCCCTACCCTGTGCACCCCCACACCCTGTCTGCCATCACACATCTCCGGCATAGGAACCTCGACCTTGAGTAGGTGTCACGCCAACCGCAGTAACTAACTCCTCCAGTGGTCACTTAGCTGACAGTTCTTTGCAAGCCTGACTGTACCTGGGGTCCTTAATCCAGACACTCCCTCCCTTCCGCTTCCCAAACTCCTCCTCCCCTCTCCTCTCCAGCCTACACCCATTACCCCCCCTTCCCCCTGCCAAGACCCCCACCACTGCTGGCCTGTCACATTCAAGTGCTTAAGTGGAACTTAATTCAGCCAGCTTTCCCTAAAAGAGAAAACCGAGAGATCTCACTAGCCAGATCTCTAGCTGGCAGGAAGGTGGCTTACAAAAGATTCTACTTGTTGTCCAAACTAATGACACCAGCACAAGCCTATATGTGCAGGCTAAGTAAATGAATCATTACTGGATGTGTTAGCCACTAAAGCTGGACGTCCACAATGTCATTATCAGTGCAGTAGACAGCTGAAATTAGAACTTCTATTCATGTGTCACAGATGGCAAGTGTAAATATGTGACTTTTTTCATGTCAAAGAAACCAGAAGGTCAGGTATCCAGGTCTTTACATGAGTCAGGTTTGCTGTGCGAAAGCCTGAAGTCCCAATTGTTCTTGAAGTTCTTTTGAACTTTCTGCTTCTACTTCTGGCAAGAAAAAACAGTTCCCTTCCTCTCTATCCCCAGATGTGGAGGTGCAGGCGTTGGACTGGAGTGGACATTTGAAAAAGGAGTGAGGCTCCGAAAGCTTGCGTTTTCAAATAAACCTTTGGACTATAACCTGGTGTCTTGTGATTTCTGACTGTATCCCCAGATTTTGCTTTTGATCTATCTCTGTTGATTAGTTGATTAATCAAATGAACAACAGCTGAAGGGTAATGTTGATACTGCAATCTCCTTTGTCCAACCAAGGGAAATAAAGCAAACAAGATTGATTTATTTTAAAAATGGACTGCTTTAAATCCATTGCCAAAGTGGAGCTTTTCATAGACTTGGTAGAGCAGAGAATAACAGTTGAAATGAATTTAGGAGCAACAGGTCATGCTGGACAAATATTGACTTTTTGGGAGCATGTAAATTAAATGACTCATGAAGATGTCTCAAGAAAATAATGAATGCTTCCAGAATCAGAGCAAGTTAAATAATCAAAATAAAAAGATTTTAACTAGGCTGTGAAGAAGTCTGGAAGTGCCAATTATGATTTTCATCCCTTATAATGCTGTCAATAAACCCCCTTTGAATCTGTGCAACATAGAGATTTCTGCTAAAAAGCCACATATAACATGTGAATTGTGGAGCTTTCTCGTTTCCTGTGTATCGTGTAATCTCATAATTGCACCTAGTTTAGTTGCTGCTCTGGTTATTAATTTCCAGTGTTTCTGAATGATCACTCCTCACAAATATATTAGACAACACAAAACAATACTCACATTTCCTTTCCAATGCTGCTGCATGTCCAAAATATGCAACAAGTTGTATCACTGTGATATGTTAAATGGGGAGATAAAATATTTTAAATCATGACTTTTTTGTCAGAAACAAATAATTTACTCCTAGGTGACAAAAATCAAACAGAGTTCAGCATAAATGCATTAATAAAAATAAGGATCTGTGCAATTATAAGAGCAATAACAAGGAGGTGAACCGTCATCATGATAAACAATTTCAAACTATATCTTGAAAAGATGTGTAGGAGCCAAAAAAAATGGAAAAAGAGATGGTTGGAAAGAGACTTGACAACATAGCAGGGAGCCCATTGCGTAAGTGAGCATATACAACCATATAGTGCAAGATTATTGGAAGTACCTTAATGTACCTTCTCCCTTCACAGTACAATTTGTATATCCTGAGTATTGTTTACTCTAAGAATGTTATATATTTTGGCACCAAAAGTCAAAAACTGCACTTGAACAAGACACCAGCACAGACTCTGTAAATGAGAAATGGAGATGATGATTAGATAGGACAAGTACAAGGGGAACACCATGCATCTTTGGTGATGGTAGCTAATATCCACTTATTTAGCATTATGGGCTCAAAAATATGTAAACCTTACCGCAAAATTGTGCCTCAACTTCCTTGAGTTTAAAAGTGACGTTATCTAAAGCTGAAACAAATCAAGCCCTCTGCTTGACCTGCTCTCTGTCGACTAAGTGGATACATCCCTTTGAGAAAAGCTGTTTTGAAACTTTACAGGAAAAATATATTATAGAATCACTTTTATTTCAACTAGCAATGTTTAAAGATGTAATTCAAAGTGCGACTGGAGAAAGCAGTTGGAAAATAAATTGTAGATAGAACACCTTTCCTTTTCCAATGTGCGCTAATGTACATTATGTGTTTTACATGCTGCAGGTTATAGGTAATCAATTTAATCTAAACATATTTTGAATTAGTTGGCTTTGTTTTTAATGTTAGGTAAGGAAAATGTTTGTCCAATCTATAATCGGCATGGAAAATAACAGCTGTTTCGAAGCTGGGAAACTTGGGCATCAAACAGAGGCCTTGAAGATTACAAGTCAATGCAACAGAAGAGAGCCTCTAAGCACAAGCCACGCACTGTTGGGAAAGAAAACAGCTGGGTAAATCATAAAATGTATTTCAGTTCTGATAATGAAATTTGCAAGAATCTATCTGATGTCGAAGTTTAGTCTCTGGGCTATAACGTAATGCAAATTACCATGCAATGGACTAAGACACTGATTGGATTTTCTTTGCTTCTTTAAGAGGTTAGGAAAAGCCCTGGAACTCGATATTGTTCTTTCTTTAAAATTCAGTTAAGCAGCCAAATTAAGAAATGAAGCTTTTAAAACAGTTGTACACTTTTCTAATTTATTGGACCAATAAAATGAGACAGGAAAGGAATGTCAGGATAAAAGGAGGCACTGACCTTGCAGTATTGGGAAGAAATTGAGGCTGCATGGCCCCGAAACCTGGACTACAGTGAACTGAGGAAGTGAGACTAGTGCCTGTGCCATTTGAGCACAAACACAGCATGTGTAAAGTAACCCAAAGCCTTGAGTATGTTTTTGACACAAATGAAGTTCTCGATTGAAGATGTGAGTTGCACCAACAGCTAATTTGTTTTGAGAGGTAAGCCACTGCTGTATTAACAGTTTGGGAATAGCATGCATCTACTCACAGTTCCTAAAGATTTTTATTAACTTGATTGAACATATGCTATTACAGTGCAGCTAATGAAGTAGAATTTAACCGTAACAAGAGGCCAGTTGCCTGTATTTGTGACTTTATGGGATCAACGCCGTAAAACTTTAGAAATGATGAGGCTTGCATTGATTGCTTTGCAAGATGTGGCAGAATGAACATTGAAAAGGTCAGCAATTTTATCTGAACTCAATAGAATTCTAGTCAATTGCATGGTAATATAGTTCAAATCTAAATCACTGTAATAGCTTTAGTGGTATCTATAAAAAAAAACTCAAGTTTAATCATACAGCTTCTCTCTTTGCCATTTAGATCCAGTTCATGGGAAGAATGTGGATAAATTACACAGACAGTAAAGCAATTTGATAAAAAATACTGCTATGGAGATTTGTGAAGGAGAAATATTATTTCATTAATTTTAGAATTACATGCTATGGTTTTTTCAGTTTCAAGGCGCAGCACAGGCTGTTGGTCGAGCAATTAAAGTTTTGCTGTCATATCAAAATAAGCAATAAACAAATTCCAATAGACCTACAGAAGCATGTACTATAGCTTTAACAAAAGATTCTCCATCAAAAACACAGCAAGATAGACCAGGTAACTATCGGCTGGTCCGTGGTGGGGAAGTTTCTAGAAAAACAATGTTCTGAGACAGAGTGAACTGTCACTTGAAAGAACATAAACAATGGACAGCACATTTGTTGAGCTCAGTTGACATTTTCAATAAAATATTGGAGAGGGTTGATGAAGGTGGTGCAGCTAATTTTGTGCATATAGACATATAAAGTGCCATATGATCAGCTTGTTAATAAAATTGAAGGAAATTAAAGTAACTAAGGCAGCATGGAAACATTGGCTAAGAGATAGCAAATAGAGAGAAGAGATGAACAATAGTTTCAGACTCCTCTTTTTAATGTACATTGGGGAGGCAATGGCCTAGCAGTATTATCAATCAGCTAATAATCTAGGGCCCCAGCTCATGTTCTGGGGACCTGGGTTCAAAGCCCACTGCAACAGATGGCAGAATTCAAATGAACTGAAATTAAGAACATATTGAGAAGTCACATGACACATCTTCTCACTAATGTGTAATAGCTATCCTTACCAAATCTGACCTACATGTGAATCCAGACCCACAGCAATGTTTCAGAGATAGTAGGAACTGCAGGTGCTGGAGAATCTGAGATAACAAGGTGTAGAGCTGGATGAAGACAGCAGGCCAAGCAGCATCAGAGGAGCAGGAAGGCTGA